TTCGATATAAGTTACGTTTAACAACATTTCCGGAAATATATAGAGAACTTAGCGTACGGAAAATTTTTCTCAGTTCAGAAAAATTAATTTTCTCCTTTACGTATCTGAATGCAGAACCTCATGGCGACTTCATGAGATAATTAAGTTTCCCTTCACAAGACGTTTTCAAGTGCATTGCTAATATGATCCAAGCTCTGTGTACTTTGCTTTCGATGACAGCGTCACAGATAAAGGCATATTAAATACCTGTATTTACTTTAACGTTCAAAAAAAATTAATTTTCATTTAATTGTCTTTCTGATACAAATAAGTATATTTCACGTACGTAAGTAACTGAAAGTTAGTTCAGTGTTCCATTATTAATTTTGTTTAATAAAACATCAAATAATGAAAATCGCAGAACGACATGTGTGTTGCTATTCTGTTGATTTAAGTGATACCTCCTCTTATCAGTCGGTCACGAAGTTCTCAATTGCAGCGCAAATTTTCCTCATTTGCTCTTTAATTCTTGGGAATTGTTCACAAATTGTCCCACATGCTTTCATTTTTTCTCCCGAAAAACGATGTTTTTTTTACATCTTCTCATTTACTCGGCTCCGTAATGCCAGAACAGAAATCACCGTACACTTATTACTGTTATAGAAGTACTTGTTTCATATCCTAACGGGACGGGATGTGATGATAAATATATTAGAAATATCTCATGTTCTCGGACAGTTAATATTAACAGCTAAGCTCATCAAAGAACTGGAAACGTCAACACTCGGTTGTTGATTTCAGGTTAGCGCCCCTCCCCACTGCGACTCCAAGGTCAGTGATCGACAGCTGCAAACGAGTTTTAAAAAGTCTGACCTTGGTGACGACGAGACAGAGGCGTGCGGCCAATGCCCACCTGTGCCCCGCCCATAGCGCCCCATACCTTCCGCTTTATCAACAAGGTGTCGTGCAACGACGCGAAGTCCAGTTACATGTGATGCGGTTCACTATCCTACGAAGCGTTCTCTGTGAAAACAATGGGTTCCCAAGCTTTTGAGATATAAGTTTAACGGACAAGGAAAGACGTTAATAATTATCTTAAAATTTTGTCGTAGAAAATTTGAGGTGACAAGAATAGTTTTAATGTTGCTACGAACTTTGACTTTACACAGGATTAGAGCGTAGGCTTGCAGTGCCGGAGTCAGTAACTCTTCGGCTGTCCGGGATTTCGCTCGCGCATTTCGTCCTGAGGAAGGCCGCAGAATGGCGGTCGAAACTTTGGCACCTGCGCATAGAACGAGGCGTCTCCCAAACAATCAAGTTGTTATTTACACAGGATTGTCAATAGACAAAATCAAGAAATCATTCGCACATCAGGTGACCTGAATTTCTATCCATGTATATATTGCTTACATGTTACACGTAAATGCAAACCCATCAATAATTAAACACTTGCAAACTGCTGAAGAAGGTCACGGTTGCAGCATAACAAGATATTCTGTATAATTATTCTGATTTTCGAATGAGAATGTTAGTGATCCTGGGGAATATTTGACGTCTCTTTTGGAAATGCATTAGTAGGTTTAGGTCCAGAGACATCGTAAGCCCTTTTGACGAGAAAGTACTTAAAACTGATTTAAATCGAATCATTAGGATATTGAGAAGATAGTGAGAGAGATTTTTTTAAAATTACAGTTGCGTAATTTTTTAAAATCAACAACAAAGAATACAGCAAAATTTCTTTTATGTCATCTTAAAAGGTGCAATTAGCACTGTAAGTTCGTTTAGTTTGGAGAAAAAAATTGGAGCCGTTTTCGATAAAAACCCTTTTTTTTATTTTTTGTTATCGCATGTATTGCATGCGATAAAGTATCAAAAAATTTTCAAGATGTTAATGAAAGAAATAACTGTTTAGAATAAGTGTACTTGAAGGAAAAAACTTCTCTTAAATTTTGTAACAGTATGAGTAAGTCGAAAAAATTTTTGAAATTTTTGAAAATTCAGAGTTAATAGTGAAAAACGGACCTATGTCATCATTATAAGTGTATTTTACTCCATTCTTTAAAAAAGTCAAAGAAAACGTTTAGAGCCATTTTTGAGAAAATTTTGAAAATGTCCCAAGCGCTTTGTTCATGCTTCATGCCGCTGCAAGTAAAATCCCCTCAAATTTAATGAATATTTTTCAAAATCTCAAAGCTTGGATTCGAGCCAGTTCGACCAGAGAAATATTGTTTTGGAAAAAATCCGAATATGGTTTAGATGCCAGTGGTGTTTACAGACCGACTAACAGACTTTTTCGTCATCAACGACCCACAATACATGGATTCTGGCTGCATCACCTGTTACAGGAAGTAATTTACAATTCAGATATAGCAACAGGATTTATCCACTTTTACGTTCCCAGTGCCCGCAAATAAGTTTTGTGACGAAAACTCACCGTTTCTCTGCGTACGGTTACATAACTTCATGTAGTGACCTACGTAGTGAGTCCGAGAAAGTAAAAATTGACTACAGACATGTTTCCTTTGGGACATTATTACATGCTTCAAATCTATTAGACATACTTTTTTCTAATAAAGCAATTTTAATGCTTCGAATGCGTTTTAACTGCACTAAACTCTCAAATCAACTCTCAATCACAACAAAACATTTAATTATTTGACAGTTCACAATTAATTAAACGTTCAACATTTAGTCAACATTACATTAATTTTTCTCCTAAGATTTTTCTAAATTAATTTTACAATTTATACTTTGATTAGTTGCTTCTCAAGTGGTATTTACTAGAAGACTACTGATTATTAGATGATTTCTATATCTGAAAATTTGTGAACTTTCGAGAATTTCGGAATATGAAATGAGTTTTGCCAGAAATGTGAAAAATGTCTTTCACATTTACTACTCATTTTCGTAAGTACCGTTAGCCCCAAATGGAGAATTTGCTAATTTTGTAACTCATATTTGCTACTTTTGCCATAATCGTAGACTTTTATTTCTTCTTTTCTTTAT